AGAGGAATGGTTATTATTGGCGACATCAGTAGATACCACAAGGAAAGAAATTAATGAACTTTCATAGAAGAATGGTTATTAGTTGCAGAATTAGAAATAACAGAGTGGAAGAACTAATGTGGAACATAAGCTCGTTGGTTCAAAAATAAACACTATTCATACCAAGTGAGCTTTAAAACACATTGTGAAAGAAACTGCAAGTCATTAAATCAATCATTTGGTCTTTACGAGGTCAGAACTGCAGTTTCTATGTGTTATCTATCATGGATGAAAAAAAGAAATAAATTTTATGTGGAGTGATGACTCCTACAACATATTGCTTCAAATGAACAAATCTAAGCATGATGGCAATCCCAAAAATACTATGTCTATGATGTGTTTACCTTGTCACAAAAAGAGCTGGGTATCTTAACCAGTGTGGATTCGGTTCACTAGTAATAGTAGAGTGAGTCACGAAGATTTTGCTGTACTGTGACATTCTACATACTATTGCACCAATATGGTATTGGTCCGTACCTTTATGGACATGATAATCAACCACAACAGACAACAAGTATTGTTAAACAGTGGATTCATGTAAGTTACAATCAGGATTTGGTTTAGTCAATCTGAATCCAAATGAACAACTCTTGGATGATCTACATGACGGAAAGACCTTAAAGTGTTTTTATAACTGGAGCAGATTTATGAAAGTATGGTGGTGGTCTATTCCATCAAAAGGGTACCAACAGTCTCTAGAAAGTGTCAATAAATAAGACCCAACTATGATTAAGGCCAAAGAATGGGCCCAATCATTTAAAACTTGGGGGCCTAGAAGCAACCATCCATAAGAAATGCTACCCCAGTACTTTTAGTGACAATATTAGAAACTACTAAATATTTCAAGGAATCTTTGTTTTGCAATTCTTAATGCTGTGAATGGGATGACAAAATGAAAATGATTTCTCTGTGTAAAAGGAAATATGAATGAGCTGAGGAAATACTTCCCACAAAACACATAGTTGACATGTACTGTTGAAAAGAATTTTTTGTAAATATGCTTCACAGTTTTAAATAAACATGAAATATCAAGTGCTCAAGAATATAAAGGAAAATAACTTTTAATATTTTTGTTTGATAAAGTACAAGTAAGCAGTAATATTCAAACATGTCAGTTAGTGAATTCTGTTTAAAGCATGAATCTGACATTTTAAATGAGTGTTTCTCGGATTAAATAGTTGTTTAACAACAAGTAAAACCTTGGAATGGTCTATTCTTTCATTGGGGGGTGTGTCTGTGAGCCAGGGTAGTGTCCAGGGTCATTGATGAAGAGTGGAATTCTCCGAAACTAGTCTGGCTCACAGACACACCCCCAATGAAAGAACAGACCATTCCAAGCTTTTACATGTTGTTAAACATATGTTTAAACAACTCTATTCAATTATGTACCAGTTGCTCAGTGTCAACGAACAATACGAAGAATTAAATTGTGGCGGAATGCTATAAGTTCTTCAAATACCTATAGAATGATAGGTTTCTTTTTGTGAGCATATAACACTTAAACACACCATTTCGTTTTTTCTGATTATTTCTATAAGGAAGTCTTTAGAAGAAGAATAAAATGCAGATGTAATAATTTAGTAAAACTAAAAGCAGTGAAACAAATCACATTCATCTATCACACTGACCCAAATAATCTAGTTTTTATATTATGCCACTCTGATTGCTCCACAGATGCCCAAACTCTCAAATCTCTTGTAATACAATCTTATTCACACCATCACATCTGATTTTGTACAGACCTTTGTTTTTCCAGATGTTTACTAACACAAAATGGAGAAACATATTGCTGAAGAGATAAACTTTATAAAAACAAAAACCATTGTCAAACATGTGCAACGTAAATATTTATCTAAGCTCACTGCATGATCCATTTAACCTATTGTGATATTCTTTAATCACAGCATTAGCTTCTCTAGCCTTTCGTTTTTGTGTGCCAAAAGCCACCCACAACTCATAGCAACAATGAGCATTTCGAGTTTGATGAATGTTAAAGCACAATGCATTCCTCCATTAAAAAAGCAATGGAATACAAAAACTGAATTATTCATGTTAATACTAATCATACTTTAAACTCTCATACTCAAACTGACATTATATTTTAAAAAATAATGCACTCACTACATACCTAAAAACCTAAAATGTCTTAAAAGATTAAAAACAAATGTACAAATAGAAAACTGTTTAAACATTTGATATCTTCATTGCAACAAACCTATAAAAACAGGTATATGGTACAGCATCCTACCAACTACAAATTATGCCTTACTTCAAGGATTTGATATGTATTATAACTGCTTTGTTTTACTAAAATATAAAAGAAGTTTGTTCTTATAAGTCAGGGCCTAAAGTTGATATTAGCCTTTCATTTTGAACTCATATTTTAAAAGACTGATCATAACACAAATATCTCAACTAAGAAAAACCTATATTTCAAGCACAGGTATGTAACCTACTATTTACCTATTCTGTTCAGTGTGGGTAACAGACTTTGTACATATTTCATAGAACACTGTGAATGCAATATTAACTTTTATCATAATTCACGAAGACTATATTTTCATTCTGAAAATTGGTATTTGTGTGAACTTAGTCTGAGAGAATAATTTGACACATTTTGTATAAAGGTGCAGTGTCATGAACATTAATTAAATAGTTAAAGTTTTCAACACATATTCACTTTAATTGGTTTGGCATTCTAAAAACAAAACTCCATACTAAACTTATACTTATCACTTAATTAACGTAGGTAATTAAGTGTTATATAAATATCAATGTAAGTAACTTACATATATTTATATATGCTGTAGAGAAAACGATTAAAATACGGCAGATATCAGTGACTAAGTTGTCTCTTACAAAAAAAACTAAAATATAGACATATACTTCAAGAGGAATCTGAAACAGTTTCAGCATACAGTTATGTAGAAACCAATAAAAACAATGTTTTAATACATTTTACTACGATATAAGATAAAAAAATGCACAATTCAGGTGCTTACCTATTTCGGAAATAAGTTTATTTATAAATTCTTTCCAATTTTGAATAAAAGGATATTTTTCTAGTTTAGTAAAAAATGCTAAACTTATAATGTGCCACTTATTTTTAGTTTTTCACACATGTTAGGCTAAGGAAGACAAAACTTTTATATTTATCATCAAATCATAGGCCTTTTTAAACAAAGGTTAGAATGTTAATCAAGCTACAGCTCTTGTGTTCAATCTGAAAAGAGTACATTTCAAATACCTCTTACATATCGTAGCATTTTTTACAAATAATGTTGTTTAAATTATCTCAAGTATGACAAAGAAAAAATAATACTGTCACTCTGCAAGCCATAGTTTTCTTTAGTTGCAACAAAGGCATATATTTAAATTTTTTTTCTTGTAATTACAGCTAATTTGAAAAATTATGTAAGCAATTTCCACATGTATGTAATCTGTACATTGTACTTATAAACTGAACTATCTAAATTAGAAAGAAGGAAAAAATAAGACTACTCAGCCCATTTGTTCTACTTTTTTTTATCTAATTGCCTCGTATTTCATATAAAATTCTTTGAATGAAATGTGGACAATACATTCCTCACTTTCTCTTTGACACCATTTTACTTGTATTTTTTAAAGAACTTTGTTAGACATGTACATGAATCTATGCAATTTTCAAAGTATATAAATATATGAATATCCACAGTATGTTACTAAGTGATGTGTTTTGATGATCATATACAGGCATGCTATGAAGCCAATTATAAACAATTACATCTGTTGTTTATATTAAACATTTTCCTGTATAGAAATTTCTTCATACTGATAGAATTATTTCAAATAACATAATACTTGCCCTCCACTTCGACGTCGACCAATAGCATCTAGTTCATCTATATAAACAATACAAGGAGCTCGTTTACGAGCTTCTCTGAACAAATCCCTCACCCGAGCTGCACCTAACCCTGAAATATAAAAACAAACAAACATAAAGAGTGCTTATTCTCATTTACAAACCTTTGGTGAAACTCTTCTTTTTTCAACCAATAATCATATGAAAAAAACAACAGTAGGAGGACACAATTTCTTTTCAACATCACTTTATAGAAACTAAAAAAAAAATCTTTTTTTTTTGTGTTCAATTTGAGTATAAAAAGATCTGCTTCTTCAAGTAAAGATTATATTCAATACGATTTAATAATGAACTCTGAATACATAGAATGGTTAAAAAAGGCACAGAAAAATCAAATAGCATACTGGCCAAATAACTTCCACTTGGACAATGGAAGAAATTAGTATTTACTTTTTAATATATCATACAAAAAAATTAAGATCATCTTTTTCCAAATACTGAGAAAAATAAAAGCAATTAGGAAAAATATAAAATTTTACAGAATTTCACATTTTCAGGATTATATTGTATTTCAGGTCAGGAAACAAGTCTGAAATGCTGAAAGCTTTTCCTAGTTGAGTTACCTTCATGATGTCAAAAACCAAGTGACTCAAAGTTCTGAATGTCCTTGATGTAATGAAGAGCATGCGTCAACATACTCAGAATTCTCAACCTTCCCTGTGACTTACTGCACACTGTCAAAAGAAATTAAATATATTCCCCACCCATATTTCATATTCCTTAATTTCATTTGTGACAGAAAACCACGTCTCAAAGTAAACTTTAGATGCAACCAAAACTGATTAACTACGAGAGAGAGAGATGGACGAAACAGAAATGCTGCATGACAAAAGGTTTGCAGTTGGACTCCACTAAGAAGTAAGGTCCCATTGGAGATGTCACATGTGAGAGAACCCCAAGGGAATGACTTCGTGAAAAGAAGCCATCATCCCCAAAGCAGAAAGGATGTTTCTGGTGGTAGGTGTGGAAGACATGGGAATATGTACACAAGAGATAAAACTTACAATGCTATAAGAGACAGAGAAATTTATCTTGAAATGTGTTGATCCAAATCCCCAGATATATCAAATACTGTGTTGGTACTAAATGAGAACTGGAGTTATGCATGATCCAACCACAAGAGGTAACCAGCTTGGTGATCAATTGTGAATGTGTAAAAAGCTGAATTAACGAAAAAATCAGAATAAATCGATCATCCATGTAAAAGTAAAAATCAATTTTGGATGAATGGAGAAGATTAGCAAAAACAAGAGTACTTGATAGAAAACATATGTAGTCGAGTGGAGGGGGAACTGATCTGATAAATTACCCATAATGCCAAAAAGAATTGACAGGACTACAGATGAATAAGGATATGAAGATAAGTATCTTGTATATCCACAACCATAAACCAATGGCTCTACGAATCTTTCATAATAACCTTATGTAATTGAAAATGAGGTGTCTCTAGGAAAAAAAAGGCTTAAGACAAGTCTATAGAAGGTCTCCATCCTCCTGTTATCTTTAGAACCATAAAGAGATGGAAGTAAAAGTCTGAGAAAGCATTACAAATAATTCTGACTTCTCCTTTCTCAAAGAAAATTGAGAATTCCTGATACAAAATTTGTAAACAACTGAATCAGAAATGAGAGGAAAGGACATCAAGACCATATTAAAATATCAGTTGAGTCTAATTAACCCAAAGCTAAGAGTTCCACAAATAACTCTTAATGTAACAATCCAGATGGGAAATTCTCCTGCAAGAGAAGAGAGTCATTGAATTGGTAAAGGTGTCTCAAAATGCTTATGTTTACTTTTGGCTAATTAACAGGGTCAAAATGAACAAAAAGAAGTACTGATGTCAGTTGAGAAGTAAAGCAATGCAAAAGGATGAGAATTACTAGATGGTCATTTCTCAAAAGGTATGACTACCAAAAGTAGGTCAAAATGCTAAAAATCCTAATCACCTCTTTCTGCCATTCTTTTCCTGAATGGGATGCTATTGTAGATGAAATTTTCTAAAGACATGTGAGGGAAGAAGCTCTTTCATAGTCAGCCAAAACTTAGGAGTAGGGGAAAAGATGAGTATCTTATAACAAATAAGTTTACAAAAGAAAGTAAGAGTTAAGTAGTAATGGAAACTAAATCACTGTGAGCCATAGTTAACCTTATCTTAAAGGGTCTTCCTATGGTCAGGGGTCAAAGGGCATGTCATCACATGTGTAGACTTTCATTCAAAATTTTATTGAACAACTCTTTTATGAATGTATGTAAATAAGTTTGGTATCACACTGTCGATTGTAACCCAAATTTTAGTATTATAAATTAGTTAATTTCTTAAATTTGATTTAAATATTAAATTTCTAAATGTTGATTTTAGTGTGTCACAAGGTATGCTGAATACTGCTTTGGTTCAAATTAGATGTTTTTGATGTCAAAATATGAAGTCTATAGTTTCTTAGGAATCAGAAACTCAAATTACCAATACTGACAAGCTAGAATGTAAAATAAGAGCCTCCTTCCATTTCTATTTTCTGAGATATTATTATGTTTAGTGAATCAACCAAGGTGGCCTTGCCCACCTCTTCCATTTTTGGAAATACTTGCTTACACACACCTACTTCTCTCTCTGACATGTGTATGACCAACTGAAAACTCAGAATGTCCCCCACATGGTTTTCTCAGCCTCTGCAAATTGTTTATGCAGGAAACCTTTCTTTTCATGGTAGAATCAAAGTGGAAAGGTAAGAGAATTTGGAGCTAATTTTTGACCCAAATACAGCTTAGTTATTAAGCCTGATAAATTATAGGAATTCTGTGGTATTGATATAGTAATTTATGTTTTTTTTGTTATTTCAATATGTATATATATAAAACCTAAAAAAATTATTTTGTTTTACATTCTCAATGTGTGAAATTTGATAAGGTTTAGCAAATTACAGCAAGTGGCAAGCGAGTACGAAGTTTGTAAGTAGAAGACATAATTGTTTTCACAGTTCTTTATTTACTGTTCTATGTTTTAAGAAAATAACTGAAATTTAAGAACTACCTTGTAAATATATATATATATATATATATATATATGTAATGTATTATGACCAAAATGTAACTGTATTTTAGAAAATATTGGTCCACTAAAACACAGCCAAGACAGGTCACTTTGTAAAGGCCAGTTTTATACTACTGGACATATATCATGAGTGCACGTGCAGCGCATCATTGCAACTTCTGTAATGTTAGTCAGACATGGCTGAATGATTAATAAAATAAAAATAATAAATATATATAGATGTATAATGTTATGAGATTTAAACTATTTACACTAAAAATTTGTGGTTTCGTGTTATGATTTGTAGTCATTCTAGAAAGAAAAAAGCATAACTTATGTGTATTTCCTAATTTTTTATGGTGGTTATAAGGTCGGTTAAATCAACTAAACTCATACAGAGATACAATAGTGAAAATGAAATATAAAATTTTTTCTAAAAAAAACGTTTGATAATTATCTGGAGTTTACTAGGAAGTTATAAAGATTTTGCATGTGAAATTTGGACAATCTTCGGATGTATAAAAGTATTTTGATCTTAAAATAAAAATTACTTTGCATGTTGGATAGTCAACATTTGAAAAGAAAAAATGCATGAGCAAATCATTAATTACAAAAATCTGATATTTTGTGTAAGATAGCCTTGTAATGTATACTGATAAAATTTCATGAAGGTATGCTTACTGTATTAAAAGTTATAGTATGAAAAATATAACAAACACAAAATGGTTATGAGGTTGGTCCCTGGGATCAAGCTCATAGAGAGAGAGAGTTAAGGAAGTCTGGATGGTAAAAATCTTATCCTGAATAAAAGAAACAGGAGGACAAGAGTAGCTGATAGCTAAAAAATACTCTGAAGAAGAAAGTCTCAAAAATGAGACAAATCATAGTGTGCAGGACAGAAGAACAAAACAACACAAGAATAGTGTAATTTGAGTAAAATAGCAAGATAAAAGTAAAATTCTGATCATTACTACAATATTACCTTCTAAAATATTTAGAATTATCTATATGGATATATTACAGTTCGGAAATTCTAACCATTCAGAATGGGTCAAAATGTTGACTCAAATGAATGACGAGACAGTGATTTCTTTCTCAAGTCCCAAAGTGCACTTTGCCCAAAAACTGCTATATATTTAGTATTATTTCCCAGGTTCAGTAAATGGTTTCAGCACCAAAATATGGACATAACTTTGTCTCTTCAAGCTGTTTGAATCATTTCTGTATTATTATAATTTTTAGAAAAATAAAATGTGGTGCACTTAAAAATTCAGAGCAAAAAGCACTATTAAATATATTTACCTCCAATCATTTCAATAAACTCTGATCCAGCCATTGCTAAGAAAGGAACATTAGCTTCTGTAGCCACTGCCTTTGCAAGCATAGTTTTTCCACATCCTGGAGGACCTAGCAGGAGAACACCTTTTGGAATTTTGGCACCTAAGGACTGATAAAATCATAAAATAAAGTAAATTGGAAGTAATTTGAAGCTATTTATACAATAAATATTATACAATACAGATCACTATGCCACAGAGAAAAACAATGTTTATTAACTGACTTATGATGAAGTTATAATACAAAATAGAAAAACAGAGCACAACAAAAATCATTAAAAAACATACCTTATATCTTTCAGGGCGCTTTAAGTAATCTACAAATTCCATAATCTCCACCTTCGCTTCCTTCAGTCCAGCTACATCTTTAAAGCGAACTCCTTTTCCAGAAGGGTTAAGAGGGTCAACTATTGTATATTTAGCACGGCCTAGCTGTGACTGGAAAATAATAAAATTCTAGTTTATTTCACAGTACTAAGTATTATTTTAAATATATCATGAAACAGGTTCCCTCGTTTAACAGCCTGGCAACCTAAGTCTGGTAAAAATCATTACTGCCTTTTGAAAACATTTGGTGCAAGAGTATATGATGATCCTCCATGATAATATACTCTCCAAACAAGAAACATTAACCCTTTCAGCACGAGCTGACAAAGTTTGCATCACTTTGACTGGGGAAGGACATGTATGCAAAAAACATACGGTAACTCTGAGCATTCCTCACAAAACTTCATAGAATTTTATTAATATCTATAAGTATTTTGTACACAAAGAATGACATTATTATTATTATGTCTTTCTAATAAAAATCTTATTTATCTTTAATAGTTTTTATATTCAAGACTGTTAAAAGAATTTGAGTGCAAGGTGATTTTCATTTCAAGTATAAAAATACTTTTCTTCATTGTACAGTTTTCATATTTCACTTACATAACCTCTGGAACCTCCTAAATGAATATCAAAAGTTTTTTAAAGTAAATATTTGGTTTTTATTTTTCTCTACCATAACACTAACTCTAGCTATTATCATCAACATACGATGCAATGAAATAATTAAAATTAGGAGATAGAAAAAAACAACACAAACCTTTTAATTTTTTTGTAAAATACCTTTAAAGATTTTCCTTTTGTTAAATTCATCGTTTCAGGTCTTTTCCTTTTCACATATAGTTAATTTTTAATGTTTTATTTTCCTTTCTCGTCCTTTACCACTAATTATTTATCTTGACACAAATCAAAAGTGCCCTCGATGCATATTATGGTGTCTCTGGTAGACAAGCAGAGCCCTTCGGCAAAATTGTCGTGCACCACATAATATTGTAAACCTTGAGAACTGACGCAAAGTATATTTAAAAAATGTTTAAACCTTTCAAGTATACATAACTAATACATAATTAACTAAAATGTAATAGTAATATAAACTGTATCTCTAACTATAACACATTGAAGTAAAATACAACCATAAATGCTATAGTCAATCAAGCAGCCAACAATACTACAGTCAGTTACATGTATCCTGTGATGAGAACTGTGCACAAATTTCAAAATACCCATTGTTAGATTATAGTATAAAATGAGCTCTTCCTAATCAGTATACATGTGTATGTACCATCTACATGTAGGCTACACAGCTCAAACGAATCTGCTAAATGTGGTTGTGGCACAAGTCATGAGTTGAAAAAAATTATTACTTGTTTCAACTGTATTCATTCAAGGAACTTTGAAATGTATGAGTCAAAAGGTTATGTAAGCATCTTATGGCCTAGATGTTATCTACAGAACTGTCATTGTATTATTGAAGATACAGAGTGCCAAAGTAGAGAGTTTTCATAACTTATTGGTCATGTTACAATACATCTGAAGTTTTAAATAGTTTTTTTAAAGGTTTCTTTTGAAATATGGGACATAAAACTTTGAATCATAACATACATTATAATGTTAGCTTAATTCACATATATTGATAATAAAGATGTTTAACTAAATTTTCAATGGAACACGGCAACTTGCACAGAAAAGTGTTTAAAGGGGTACCCATAGTTAAAAAGTTAATAATAAAGATCATCTTATATGACAATTTCTGTGTACAGATTTGTTACATATAAATATTCAGTAAGGAAATAAATTTTAAAAGTATTTCTCCATCTCCTCAGACATAAAATCATGAGAGTAGGAAAAAAATCAAAAGGAAAAAAGTTTAAAAATATGTATGTGATGAAAACATCCTCAAATAATATACTTCCATGAGGACAATACCAATGTAAAAATAATTTAATAAAATCTCTTGAACTAGAATGAAACAAAAATTCAGAATAAACTGCATAAATACATCACATAAACAGGATTAGTGTAGGACCTAAGTAACTTATTTAACACTTTTGACTCAACTTGGCAGCACATGTATTAGATGCAAAATAAAACAAATATCTGAATTCAGTATACATGTGATCAAATCTGTAAGTAGCAGTCTTAACTAGGCCATTAATCAACCATTAAGACACAGTGGAAAAACAAAGCAATCAAATTACTCTAGGCTTAGGCATGGGAAGTTTTTGAAAAAGTTGAATCGATTCTTTTATGACAAATACAGCCTTATGTCTTTCTAAACAATAAACACATACAGAATTTTATTTTTATTTTTTATGGTCACAAAAAGTGTATAATCAAATTACAAGCAAGCTCTTGGTTTCTGGTATCATTTTCAATATAGTGCACAGCCAATGAAAATAATACAATTACTTCACTTTTTATGAAAGTATTTGAACACAAGTTAAACTTTAACTTTAGGCTTTATATCACTTCCAGATAACCTCGACTGACCATGGAACAAGTAACTTCACTATTTGTCAAATACACTGACAAACATAACTGTATTAGTTATTCTACTAGTATGATCCTTGATGGCAGCAAATGTAGTTACCTGAGTACATGTACTTGAATGCATCAAAAGTCTATAAATATGAAGTTTGGAGACCATAGTGCTCAAAGTAATGTTCCCACATGGCCAGTTTGTCATGTAAGTCTATTTTTATTATGACAGATAAATAGCTATATAGGCTTTCAAGTGGGTGAAGAAAAAATGCTCAAAAGTGTTCAAGTACATAAGTCCAGTTGACAGTATATATTTGGAAGAAAAAGGGGCAACAGATCTTTTATTGTAAAATATCATATCAAACATCATCTTACACTGAGTCTCCTACATACTCCTGGTTGGTGGTGTGGGTTCTAATTTCACCAGTTAAGTCTACAGACTGCTACACTCAAATGGAATGTTATCTCACTGAACATAATCATGCTACTGAGGAACGTTTCAACATGATCCATCCACTGAAGAATCAACGTACTCGTCACAAGTTTACCTGTGAATTTCTACTCCAACACCTACTGAATTGTCTTAATTATGTGTGCTTAACCAAGATCAAAGGGAGTCTTTTTTCATAGACTTTTATGAGCTATTTTGAAAGGTTTTTGTGACAACTTTTCATTTCCCTGGGTCATTCCAGTTAGTCCTACTTCTGTAGTAGGAAACATTCTAGTCTAATGAAAGAAGTTTTAAAAATCATTTAGTGAAATATGATATTATAAATGAAAACCAAGATGGATTTACCAGATTGAAACTTTACATAACTAATTTATCTTTTCTCAAGCTACAAATACCCAAAACTTTAATGTCATCAGAAAACTTCACAAATTTACTAATTATACCCGTATCATTAAAGTAAATAAGAAAGTGCAAAGACCCAAGCATTGACACCTGAAATACTTCACTAATAACAAGGGTCGAGGTCGACTAGAGGTTTCCCCATCCATCCACATTTACATTCTAACTAGTCATTTCCCATCAACCTACTGATGTGATATTCTTAACTAATCTTTCGTGTAGTACCTTATCAAAAGCTTTTAGATGAACGTGTAGCCCATGTTATCCTACTGAATTAGGTAATGCACAAACTACTTGTGAGCATAGCTCCTGAAGAATTTATTATTATTATTATTACTCTTCTTTATCTTATCTAGTCTAACCTTATCTGAACTAAGAAGTTTCGATTTTTTATATTTGTTACTTTTATAATAATAATAAAAAATATACATGAAAAACAAAAAATATAGTACTGTCACGAAAACTTAAGCCTACTTTTTTAAACTAATATATATAACAATATTGTATTTTCAGTCCTGACTGTCCCTTAACCATATAATGATGACACCATTTTTAAAACCATTTCTATGCATGTTATTGTGTTCCCTTCAAAATTTAATTAAACCACTTTAATGTCAATATATTTTAATGAAATTATTATCATCAAGTACATTATAATTCAAAGTTTAATATTATCAAAGTTTTTATTCTTTTATTTCAAAAGAAACTTCTAAAATACTATTATTTAACTTGAATTTTGATATCTCATTATGCTCTCACAGTTACAAATCTCAACTTTAAGAGCTGTTATAGAAGAAACTGTGTGTGTAATGTAGACGATTCTGTGCAGACTTTCAAAGTATAGTATATAGGTTGTTTACTAGTAATTCAAGTACATTCCAAGAAATTTTGTTTCCGAGCAAACCATTGTAAAAATTCCTCAGTTCATGATAAGCCATACCCATTTGCAAAGGAGAAGCTGTGTTGCTAAGCAACAGTTTTAACTTGAATGGCATGGTTATAACTAATTGTTGAAAGCAGTGTCCCTTGGCTCTTTTTTCTCACCTTATACATATTAGTTTGATAGACAGTTAAATTGCATTTCAGTTTTACTTTTATATTTTAGTTAAATATGTATTATCTGTGTTTTAATATTCATATTTGAAAGGTTTAATGAGCTGATAAATTTATGCTTTGCCTCATTAAACAATTGTTCATAAAGTTATAAGTATGCATTAGATTTTGCTGGAGCTAAACTATCTCTGCCGATGTTAACATTCTATCACTCATAGGCACCTGCTGACATAAATAATCAAAGATAAAGAACAGGAAAGGAAAATAAAACATTAAAAATAAACTAAAAGTGAAAGGATTAAGACGTGAAAGTACGCATATGACCCAAGGAAGATATTTTTAGATTATTCAACAAAGATTAAAAGGTAGTTTTTTATATATATATATTTCTATTTCTTAATTTTAAGCATTTCATTGCACTTGTCTGTTGATGATAACAACTAGAGTTAGTGATAAGGTAAAGAAAATGGAAAATAAAATATAAACATTTACCTTAAAAAGCTTATGATATTCAATTAGGAGGTTCTAGAGATTATGCAAGTGAAATGTTAAAGCTGTAAGATAATAAATAGTATTTTTATCTTAACATGAAAATCACCCTGTAGTTGAACTACTCAGAGTCTAAGTAAAATGATTACATTAAATAACAAATTTTTATTTGAAATAGTAGAAAAAAAACAAAATTAAATACTTTATTTTCTCAAACTACATCCTTTTATGAAAGTTCTTGTCAAGTTTTAATCAATTTTTTCCACTGGTTTTATTACTGGAACGAAATTTAATGGGAGTTATGTTATGTGCTTAAGTCTGAAAGCATGTAGTCATTACCGAGTTAAAAGCAAAAGATTGTCCAAAAAATATTTAGCAAGGTGGGCCCATAATGTCACTCAAAATATCTCTACTTAGATTGATCACCATATAAACAATGGTTGATCTAATCAGGTATAAGATGACAAACTGTCTTTATAGCAAATATTTAACTATTACATGCATGGAGGTTAGGTTTATAACACTCATTATATAACATTGTTGCCATTTGGAATTACATTTTTGTCTCTTTTTATTAATTAATTTTAGGCAATACCTGACGAAGAACTTACACTACAAATGTTGTTAATTATTTTTGAAATGTTTATACTGAAGATGGAAATCTGAAAATTCTCTAACATCCGTATTCTTAAGCCTATTTAACAATTTCGTGATTTTAGGTTTCTGCTGAGTCTTGAGCATATTTTACACGAAAAATATCATTCCAATAAAATTCATGTAACATCCATTCACTTACACACAGATTTAGATAGTTTTAAGATTGATTCTGGTCCCTAGAATATGTGATTTGTAAAATGTACTGACTTGGCAACATTGATGATCAATAACAGGCTTAAGTACTGATGGGTGCACTAGCCTCTACATCCTGCAGAATATTAACATCAATGCCATCATTATAAAGACTCCATCTTATAATCCTTTGTCCTGTCATATGCTGGTACAATTGAACCTGAATTCAGCCAAATGGATGCCACTGCCTACATTAACTCTCTCGCTACAAGCTCAGTCGAATTGGCCAAGTTTGCGATCCCAAATTGACCTTTATAGTTTCCATACTATAACTTCTAATATGTTTTGTGTACCTTCACAAAATTTTGTAAATCTTCAGTAATCATGAAGAGTCATTTGTAAACATAAAAGTCAGAATTTTAGTGAAGTATTTTCACAAAAAATTTCTTCATGGATATATCAAGTCAAAATGTTGACTACTCTGAGTGCAAAGTGATTTCCACATTAGGATTAAAAATACTCTTCTTCATCTGTAAAATCTCAAATTTAATTTGCATAATCTCTAAAACTTCAAGTAAATTTCAAAGTTTTTTTTTCAGTAAAACTTTATATTTTATCTGTTATTTTCTCTACCCTAACTCTATACGAGGTTGGACAATTTGACCTATCTCGTAACTACCCAAAACAAATTTGAAATAAATCTAAATTACCCTTTTGTTTCTTTCTAGAATGACTGCAAATTGTAATATGAAACTACATTTGTTTATCCTAAATAGCTTTAAACTTGTAACATCCGTTTATACTTAAATATTATTGTTTTATTGTCCTTTGAACTGTGTCTAACTAATATTTGTGCCATACAGTAGTCCCTTTTAGATAAGACCAACCTATTTGCCATGATAAAAATGTCATATCTGACAGGAAGTTATCAAAAGGATCAATAACCAGTTAACAAACGACCAAGCTGTGCCATTCACTACTGCCAATCCTTGAGCATAATGGTTTTATATACTGTATAGGTAATAAGATGATGTAGCAAACTGGTATAATAATAAATATGATGGTTAATAATTCAATAAAGATAACTCAAAATTATTTTGTTTTTGCTTCATGTGAAATAATTTATTCATCAGTCACATGTATTGGATAAAAAATCACCTCTCTTATTTCATAAAATTTACATGTATCACATTTTTATTTCACACATGACAAATTGACACTGGATCTATTTTATAAAAAATCGTCCATCTTTGTTTATTTTGCACTTTATCAGGGTCACTTTGAATGTTCATTAGTCTGGCAGATATGATACTGAGAAGCATTTAGTTGTTCTTTTTCAGCACGTGAAAGTAAGGTGAAGTGTTTATGTTTTTACTTTTATTGAGGCATTGTGAGACAGAATCTATCTTTGTACAAAAATTTAACTGATTTATTTAAATTAAAAATTAAAACTTGTGGCAGAAATTTAGGTTTAAAAATATTTTAAGCCTCAAAGAAAATTCTGGGGCCTGAAAGACAACCTTGGGTGGTCAGAAACTTTTGTTTCTCCTCACCCCACGCAATGAAAAATCTAAAGCCAAACAAATTTTGAGCCACTGGCCTTAAAGTGAATTATTCTTCGATATGTGTCATATTTATACAGCAAGCCACAGACTAACTACTCACCAGGAGAGTTAATTACCTACATCATGCATCACCTGGCATTTCCAGAAAACACTCATTCTCACCGCTGATTGGCTGGTGAGGGTTTTCCCAGCTTGCATCATGGTCTCATTTTCATTGTCAATTGCACACTACTCATCAAAATACTCATGTATCAACTGGTGTAACCAAGCACTGACTGCTATTGAAATTATTTTTTTATCACATTGAATAATTGAGGTAAAGATTTTCATACTTTGAACAATATCACATACAATACAAACCTTTCATTGTGTGGTGTTGTATCTAATCATTCACCCATTGTGGACATCAACAAATTACACTTGAATCAGATCCTAGTACATACATGTACACGTGAAATCAAATACATGAACACAACAACCACATTTATACATTTTTATTGAAATGAAGAAAAGTCACTAAAGAAAGGTTGTTATCTGACCTTCCACCCAAAAATCATGGTCATATGTTGCATCTATCAGGAAGTCACTCATGGGAGGTCAGACCAATGTAAAAGTATTCCATGCACAAATAATGGTCATATCTAAAAGGAAGTCATTATTAGGAGGGACTACTTTATAAGTTGTAAATCACTTGGTGAATGTGTAGCTCACATTACCCTATTGAATTATATAATGTACGGGCTACTCACAAGTTGCTTCCAAGCATACATCATAAAAAATTATTTTATTATTACTTTTTTCTTTATTATACTTACTCTAACCTAAAAAAGTTTCTAACTTTTACATTTTAGTTACCTTTATACTAATAAATAAAGAATACATATAAAGAAGAAGAAATAAAGTACTTTTTCTTGCTGTTCACTGTCAGTGACACTTAACCCTACTTTTTTTATACTAATGGTACTACTGCACTAAACATTTTTTATTTAATCAAATAATGCAACACAGAGCACAGAATAATAACACAAAAAATGTAGATAATGTCCTGTAACTAACATAATTTTCTGCTTTCTAATTATGCGACAAAAACCATTAAAAATTCAGCTTAGTTCATCAATGTGTTTTTTTTCTTTAATGTATAGTGGCACATCCCTTCTAGCATTATAAACACTACAATGATTAGCATCATTATACAAAGTACCCATGTGGATTGGTATTACACTGCTTATGTAAAGGGCAATTGGTTATTAAAAGTTTAACTATATTTTAAGAATAAATAACTATTTATTAAAGAAATAAGGTAACAAAATCAAACAGCATTGACACTTACAAGAAAATCCATACTCTGAGGAGTTTTAATCTGTCCTGTTCGAAACATCAAAAGAATCATTAATGCAACAGCTACAAGAGATACAAGCAACAACCACGTGCTCTCCTGGTTACGTTCGTATACCACAGGGACTCCTTGGTCCGGTCGAATACCAAGAGTTTCTTCTGCAAGACGGAGTTTTTCCTCAAACTTCTCTACATCTACGATGTTCATGTGAAATGTCTTGTGCTCAACCTAAAATAGAAACACAGCAAATCAAAAGAAATATTAAAAAAACTGAATTTTTGTAATAATCTTTTTCTGCAACAAAATTTAAAGTTTATTTAGCAAAGATAAATAATATCTGTACAACAAAACTAAAACCTGCCAGAGATAAAGTGAATTATCTTGTCAAACCGAACAGTATATGTGTATAGCACCCATATTCAGTGAAGCAAAAAACTATTTATAGCCTCTAACAGATGTTTAACACTAACTCTAAGTCAAACACACCACATATGGTATTCTGCCTTTGGGAAGCACACATCCAGTATTTTATCAGCCGTCTTGCAAGTTCTACTGAATAAGCACAGTCATATGAGAAATCAAACAGTGTTCATCAACACCAACACTGAAAAAAAACTGGAACATATACATGGATTTTATTTTCTGGCAAATGGAAAAAAGTGTGCGACTAAACTTTGCCCAAGGTCATGGTATTTTTGTAATACTATATCTACAAATATTCTCGAGAAGGCAGTAATCACTGGTAACTTTAAAGACAATCAGCAAATTTTTGGTCAAGATTGTACATATCTTGGAGAACAGATGTTAGAAGCATCCGATTCAAAGTTTACAAAATGCTGGACTTGTTAAAAGATGCAGCAGATGTGGATGTAATCTTCATGCGATACCAGTTGCAGAGAAAGCAAGCTGCAAATGGACAAAAGAAGAATTTTTATTTGTATTATTGAAAAATGCCAAATGGCCAAAGAAAAGCTTTGAGTTGTAATGCAAAATACTGGCGATGATGAAGAAGGAAGCTGCAGATTATTAAATCAGAAGAAAAGGGGGATGTAAAGTAATGTATGATTCAGAATGACTTCCTAACAAAGCTATTTTCATTGTGAGCCATAGTTAAAGCTTGAGTTGAGTGGTTACAGAGACAACAGCCACTAGCCAGTTAAATTAAATGTACATTTATGAGTTTTGAAACATAATTTATACATTTCAAAAATCAAGCAGTTGCCATGCCTTATGATCTAGTAGTTTGAACTGCACGTACTAGCAGAAGACATCTGCACCAAGAGTGGGAAGAA